AGGAGATTAGTCCTTCCAACGACGTCCCACGTATGTATTCCTTCTCTTGGTCTTTTGAGCAGACTGCTAATTCTGTATCGAGCAGCACCCACAATCATCACAACTGCGCCGACGACTAACGACTTCGACGAGCCTGCCCAAAAGCCATCGAAAAGGAAATTGTTTGCCAGAGCGCCAAGTCCTTTCCGCAAGAGTCACAGCTTTAGACGGACCATTTTAGACCCTTTGAAAGGTACTGGTAACGAAGACGGGCAGGATGAAAAAGCGAGCTTGGCGAAACCTGGGATGCTCAAAGAAACCACCTCGTTTGAGCGCCTTCCGCGACCAAAGACAGGACATTCTGGCGCGGAGCCGCCTGCGTACGGTGACGAATCTTCGTCCTCGCTGGCCATCCCTATTACGCGACTCTCGGAGTCGTCTCGATCGGATGATAGTTCTGGGGACCACCACGTCTACGCGAAGACTACCACCACACACACCATCTCTACCACCACCACCTTCTTCAAATTGAAGAGGCGCAAGAAGAATAAAGGTCTACTTTTCCCACTGCCTGAAAAGTTTGCAACACCTGCCTCTGGGCGGACCACGGCCTCGCATACCCCTCAAGAGTCTCTGATGGGAAGGAAATCTATGTCGCCGAGCAGGAGATCAAACACGGCGGTGAGATTTGACACTGAGCCGAGCCGACATGGCTCTGCAGTTCCTTCACCCACTCATTCCGCCACGGCACTCACAAATGCTCCATTTGGGTCGCCGGGAGCCACCATTGTGCGGCAAGACTCCAATTGGTCCACCCACTCTGGTCAATCGACGCCATCAGTGACACTGATTCCCCCGCGACTATCGGGAAGAGGAAGATCTTCGACCTTGAGCTCGCTAGGAAAGTCAACTGAGAGGTTATCTGAATCAGGTCCCCAGCCAGCATCGACGCGAACATCGACGTCGACAAGTGGACGAAGAAGCTTTGGCGATCTGCTGTCCCTTCCTCACAGACTACGGCAGAATTCCGCGCCACCTACGCGCGGTGCTGGCTCAACTCCCGGCACGCCTGGCTCAAAATCCAACTCTTTACATATCCCTCGAGAGCCGGAACCGGAGCGGGTGTATCCTAAACGAGAGGATGGCGATACCCCGGCTAGTTACCTGGAAAAGCTCGAGGCTGCAGTTCCCCGGAGCGCAATGGCGTCCATTCTTTGCAAGAGCGCAGATGACTTTTCCAAAACATGCTTGCGCAAGTACATGCGCGGCTTTTCCTATTTTGGCGATTCCATTGACATGGCGATCCGGAAGATGTTGATGGAAGTAGAGTTGCCCAAAGAAACTCAACAGATCGATAGACTGCTCGCCGGGTTCGCGGACAGGTACTATGAATGTAACCCGGGAATCTTCTCCTCGACGGACGAAGCGGCCTTTGTCGCGTTCTCGATCCTTCTTCTGCACTCGGACACGCACAACAAGAATAACAAGAGGAAGATGCAGAAACAAGACTATGTCAAGAACACCCAACAGGGTCCGGTGCAGATTTCCAGTGATATTCTCGACTGCTTCTACGACAATGTGTGCTACACGCCCTTCATTCACTTTGAAGACGAGGTGGCCGTCAACAGTCACCGTCTATCAGCGCCCAAACCAAAGAGGAGCCTGATCAAGACTAGAAGCCTTGAAAGCCTCCGCGGTCCTGTCGACCCGTACACCCTGATCTTGGATAATAAGTTGGACGTGTTGCGACCGTCCCTGAAAGATGTCATGGATACTGAGGACTGCTATTGTTCCACGGGCACGTCCGGTGTGCTCGAGACCGAACACCATCACAAGGCTTTTGTGAACTCGGCGGTGTTGCAGATTGTGTCTGCAAGGTCAAGGCCAGACGCTTTCTTGTCCCAAGCCACCATTAGCAACCCCGGTGAAGCGCAAGCTGGCCTGGTCAGTATCAAGGTTGCCAAAGTGGGGCTGCTGTGGCGCAAGGATCCAAAGAAGAAGAAAGCAAAGCGCCCGTGGCAAGAATGGGGTGCGATCCTGACTGACTCAAAGCTCTATTTCTTCAAAGATGTCGGGTGGGTCAAGAAGCTGATTGCGCAGCACGATGCCCATTCCAAGTCGACCAATAGATCTGCTCCTCTTGTCTTCAAACCGCCGCTAACTTCTTTCGAACCCGATGCACTGATGTCTATGGACGATGCCGTGGCATTATTGGATTCGAGCTACAAGAAGCACAAGAATGCCTTTGTTTTCATCAAGCACGGAGGTTTCGAGGAGATTTTCCTAGCTAACAGCGAGGTCGAGATGAACGACTGGATCGGCAAGCTCAACTACGCGGCTACTTTCCGCACCGCCGGTGTGAGGATGCGCGGGCTTCTGGGATCCAACTACGAAGGCCGTCATCTGCTGCGAAAGGACTCGGATTTCTCCTCCAAAAGTGGGGACACGCCCCAGAAAGACAAGAAGGTCGACCCCCAGATGGCGTGGGAGATTATGTTCTACCGCCGGCAACTGATCAACGAGAAAATCAGCGATTTTGACGAGAGGATCGCGGTGGCTCAAAAGGAACTCGACCATCTCCTTCGCAACGCGCGGCATCTGCTCATCTTGCTCCCCATCCAGCAGAAGACTCGTGAATTTCTCGTGCTGGCTGCCGGCCGTATGTCGGCCAAATTGAAATGGACCAGGGTGGAGCTTTGGAGGACGAGGACTCACCGAGACATTCTTTTCAAAGACCTCGAAGAGGAGGGTGCTACTGCATTCCCTGCTCCCAAGGCGTCACTGACTTCGACGCCTCAGAAAACCACTCCTCTGAGGACGGGTCAAGGAGATCTGGGGCGAACCATCACCGACACAAGCCACATCACCTTGTCACCGGCCAGTGCTACTTCGTCGAGGCTGTCCAACATTGTCGACAAGCTCAAGACATCGGAAAGTGTCAGTATCAGCACCGCCGACCTTCCATTGGCTATAAGCCCGTCTGTGTCCGGAGAGGCGTCTCTGTCGAGGCACGAAAGCATCCAGGACTCGCACAGCCTATCACACCAAGTTTCTACCACCAGTTCCCATCACAGCCGAGATAGAGACCGACTTGCACGCGGAGCGGATGACTCAGAGGAACGTGTCCTGCGTGAAGCCGGACTGATGCACGTGGACGGTAACGTCGCCCGGGATAGGAGGCCTGACACCAGTGAATCGGAACGGGATCGGGTTGGAACAATGGCGGGCGCGGCTGAGCCTTCAAAGGCTGGAAGTGTTCGTCGGAGTCTTCAGCGCAGCTTGCGTGAGCCACACCTCCACCACCATCACCACCTTCACCAGTCTCCTAGTGTTCATCGCCACAAGAAGAGTAAAGAGTCGGGCTCTAGTTTGGCTACGACAGATGATGGAGGCAAACTGACGCACGGTGAAGCCGAGGAATTGAAACGGGGCACGGGGAGTTTCATTCTCCACGGCAAGAAGGCCAGTGTCATCACCATGTCTCCAGAATGGCAGCACATGTCTAACGAGGAGAGGCTGAAGATGAGAAAGGCCGAGCGGGAGAATGAAGAGGCGGTCGACGACAAGACTGCCGCATCTACGACGTCATACAATCGGGATGTCACCCTGGGAACGGCGAGCAACGCCTCCTCCACTCACGAAGAGGAATTCGAGGAACCGTTTAGATCCTCCAATTCGAGTCGGAAGCAGAGTTTCGCGACGACATCGGGGGAGCAGTTTGTGGACGCGGAAACCGGGGAGAGTGACGATCTCGGAGTGGTAGCTGGCGGAGGGGACGCTGAAAGATGATAAGGCTGGGCTCACACGGACCTTTTCTGTGTACGAGAAGGGATCCTGGCGACTTGGGAAGTTGGACCAGGGCAATGGATGATTGTCACGACTAACGGATCACGTTCAAAGGGCACGACTTTAGAGGAATGGGATACAAAACACCGGCACCGGCCATGTAACGCTTACTAGGTGGGGATATCTGGCGCAAGTGAGAGGGATAGATGAGCGTCAGTTGCAGCGAGACTCTTTGTTGCCGTGCTTGGAATGGAAAAAGCGTTTTATTCTTCATCAAAGCACATCAAACCATATCGCCACGTACTCGTGCACCGAAATCTTCCCGTGAAAGTGGCAAGTGGCCCAGCTATCGATGGGATGTGTAGATAGATGATGTCCATTAAGATGTCGACGTTGAGTGTATGTCGGACATGCAGGATTTCTCGCGGACACCAACAACCCAGGTGTGTAAAGGTATGTGTATGTATTGGTCCATTTGGACGGATGTACCTCGTCAAGCTTGTCTAGTACTTTGCAAGAGGTAGATGGAATGGACCACCTCGCCCTGCCCTGTCACCCACTGTAATTAGGTACCCTGGGTGGTTTAGGTACTGTAAATACGAGCGAGGAGGTACACGGTACTCAGAGGTTAATTGTGTCAGTAGGGAGTACTCGGTACTTGTACCTACTAAGTACGAGTGGGGATCTATTGTGGTCACTAACCTTGTCCAGTACATGCATTAACTGTGTCTGGTATAGTGCGGTATACTCTAACCTATGTACTTGTACGGAGGACTTGTAGTTGTACTGAGTACTTGTAGGTATTACATACATACAAGTAGGAATACCTGTTACCTGTACCTGTACCTGTACCTGTACCTGTCCTTGCACCGAGGACTTGTCCCTGTGCTTGGAAAATATCTGAGTGAATGCGTGAGTAAGCAAGTGAGGTCGGAGGGTTGAAGGAAGATAAGTTGTACATGCTTCGTTCGTTGCTAAGTTTTTAATTTCTTTTTTGATTTCTTTTTTTTTTTTTTGAGCCCTTCGAATGCGTTCGTGCTACCTACATACCTTGGGTACCTACCCGCCCGTTTATGACACCAGCTCTCTATCGAGATACGTAAAGTATTTTTCCATCTCCACGGTGGGTAGTACCTGTCTCTCTCTCCCCATATTTTCCTCTTTTCATCTGTGTGTGTGTGTGTGTGTGTGTCTACCTCTTCTCCCCTCTACTCTTTCTTTGTTCCGTGGTAACATCACAAGGTATGCACCTCGTCCAACGGATCCCTCGCCCTCCCAGCCTCCCAGACCTTGTCAGCGAGCGCCCGCCTCGCCTCGCTGCGCGGCTTGAGATCAAACACAAACGGCCGCGGCTGCACGTTGAACCCGGCCGTGTAGTCGTACAGCGGGGGGAGGCCGACGCCCGGCCGCGGCGAAATGTGCGCCGCCCACGCGATCCGCGCCACCAGCAGGTGCAGCGAGTTCTCGGCGATGTTCATCCCGGGGCAGATGCGGCGCCCGAACCCGAAGCACGAGTAGTTCTGCAGGTTGGGGAACTTTGTCAGCGGCTCGCGGAACGTCGGGAAGCTCGGGTCCAGCCAGCGCGAGGGGTTGAAGGTCTCCGGGTCGGGGTATAGCTCTGGGTCGCGGTGGATGGCCCTGTCGAGTTGAGGTGGTAAGTCAGTGAGTAATTGAGTGGATATGTGGGTGAGTGTGAGAGTGAGTAAGGGGGATCGGTTTGAGAAGAAGAGGAGGGAGCCCCCGTGCCTATAAGCGCCGGGGGTGTGGTATTGGCAAGAATAAAAAAACCGAAAAAAGATCTCACCACTGGTTCGCATGGACGTTGGTCCCCGCCGGCAGGAAATACCCATTATACACATCGTCCTTGATCAGCTCGTGCGGCACGCCTCCCGCCGTCACGGGCCGCCAGCGCAGCACCTCCTTGATGACGGCCCGACAGGTCGGCAGCGACGGGATGTCGCTGTAGTCTGGGATTCGGTGGTCGCCAACCACGGCGTCGACCTCTTGCTGGATGCGGGTCTGCCACTCGGGGGAGTGGCACATGCAGAGCACAAACGACATCATGGCCGCGGCGGTGGTGCCGGCGCCGGCCTCGAACAGCGTGCCGATGACATAGGCGCCTTCGTCGTCCGAGAGGCCAAATTCGGCCTGCCGCTCGAGGAACGTCTTGGAGAAGCACCGCGGGCCCTTGTCGGCTCGCATCTGCTCCCGCACCTCCAGGAGCAGGCCGCGGAACACGTTGATTTCGAACTCGTGCAGTCGTGCGGCTTCGCGCTTGAACGGCGCCAGCCACGTCGGCAGGTTCATCAAGACCGGGAACGTGTCGACCAGGTACGCCCCGGGCGAGGCGACCCGCTCGACCGTGTGCACGATCTTCAGGATGTCGCGCACGTACACCTCGTCGCCTGTGTCGACCGTCTTGCCGTAACACAGCCGCATTACCACTGCCGCCGCGTACCTCTCAAACAGCTGCTCGTACTTCTCTGGCGTCCGCAGCAGGTCGCACAGCAGCCTCTCCGACTCGTAGATCTGCACGGGTTGGTACGACGTGGCCGAGGCGTGCATCGTCATGTTGTGCATCACTTTGCGTCCTCGCCGCCACAACTCTATGGCATCTCGTCAGCCTGCGGTGCCCAGTGATCGTCGTGTCTTTGACGTTTGGTCAGTGTTGAACGTAACACGCACCTCCATAGGGTAAGAAGAGCGGTCTCAGGTTCCGTGACATCAGCCTCGCCGCCATAGGCAGCTGTTCTCGCGACGAGTACAGGTTCCCGCGTTCTCGTAGGAGGTCATTGGCGATCTTCTCGGTCGACACCATGACCAGGTTCCGGCCGAAGATGGAGATGCGGTAGAGCGGCCCATATTGATCGGCCCAGGCCTTGAACTTCAACCACGAGTGCTGCGGCGGGATGTCGAGGAGATTTCCCACAAATGGCTTGCCTGTGTGGTACGATTCGCTTTTTGATCAGCTCATTTGGAAACGAATATTCTTCACCACTTGACAGGGAGGAGAAGGGAACATGGACAAGAAACATTGAAGACAGTAGCACCCAATAGATCCCAGGGTCAACGTACCCTTTGGACCGGGGGGTAGTTTCGCGTTCGGCGGGATTCTCTGTCGATTGGAGTATTGTTGGATGAGAATACCCACCAGCAGAAGCACAGCCGTGCCAGCGACGAGGAATGACAAGGCCATCTTATTTTCCGATTACAGATGATGTTGTTGGTAGTTGACCTCGGTCGAGACAAGTGGGAGGAAGGGCACGTCTTTGCTCGGTTATATAGAAATGTATGCTTCGCCGCCTCGCCAGATGGAGTTCAGCTGGCATGGAAAGACCCCACGTCTTCTCCATTCCCAGCCTAGCCTCTTGCTTTACCATGCGTGTAGCCTTTCGCCCCGGATGGCGTCTCATTGGAGTTCTTCGGTAATAATAAGCAGTGAGCCCCCCCCAAAAGACTGAGGCGTCCTTAGCGCGCGTCGACTCCGCACCATAACGAAGTTTTGTCATCGGTCCGGGGCGGGTATCAATGTCATTTTAGTTCCCAAGGTCCTTCACTCGGAGGTTCTTCACTCTTGGTATTCGTTCAGTAGATGCCACGCTTCCGCGAGAATTGGCCATGGTCAAGTAAAAAGTTGTCGATATCCTCCGAGGCTCTCTGTGCGGCCGTCTTGGGGTCCACGTTCATTCATTGTGCACCCCAGGCAGGGCTGATGGAAAGCTGAAGGCCAAATGATGCATGTAGCAAGGAACTACTCCGTCTCATTTCAATGGGGTTATCCCGAAACGTTGGGGTCATTTGTTTGAAGGACGTATTGTAGCTCCTGTATTGTCGCTACTAGGCGCGGCCTGTGTCCGGGCCCATGTATCTCCAGAACCTCGGCCTGGGGTAGATCTGCGCTATACCAGTGATTAGAAAAGACCTGGTAAGTTCAAGGTACTAGTCGTGATTGGACGCTTGATGGATAGGATGCGGGAAACCACACACCACTCCGACACCGAGTGGATGAATGCTAGACCGATATCTGGTGGCCACAATGGGTCATTCAATGTAAGCTTATCATATCCAGCAGCTGACTCACCACGCCCCAGTCATATCCCAGTACCAGGACGGCCGGTTGGCGAAGTAGTTGATGGAATCACGTATCCCGGGTCAGTGGGCTCCAAATGCTGCACAAGATCCTGTTAGAGACACACAATCTGCACAAGTCTTGTCATGGTGAGATGGAGAACAGAACGGTCAGCGCTGGGGTGACGTGGGCACGCGTTTGCTCCGTGAGAGTGGAAAGGCGAGCGGACCATTGGAGACAGGTGTCTGCTCGAAATTGTTCTGTTATGGTAGGTCATTGTTTCTCATTCTCGACGTAGTATCTCGTTCTCTCGGTAGAAGTCGACCTCTGTGGCTCTTCTCGCTGCGGAGGCACTCGATTTCGCCTTCGCACCTACATCGCCGTCAGCTTGGGTTGCGAGCAGCAGATAGCTCCGAGAATAGGGCAAGTGGTGGCCATGTTCATGGCATGAGTGGTTCTTGAAGACTGCAAGTCCCACGGACAATGCGTGAGCCGCTTGAACTCACCTCACATGTATGGCCTACACTCCCGATCGCTCCATTCCCAGAATGCTCGTGCAATTCCATTGCCGCCTTCTTCCACACTCTTGCAGCTCTCTTTGACGTCGGCCCTAACATCCAACACACGACCCCACGGCCCAATATAGCAACCATTCATTTCAGTGCTCACATCTTCCGAAAACCCAGAGAATAGCTCTGTATATGCGCCAAAAATAGCAGGATACAACATCAAATTCTGGAGCATGCGGCGTGTGGGTGGCACGTAACGCTGCAGCTCAGTGCGAAGGTTTCCCGGGTTGAAGCATGTGCTGACCACACTGGGGCCTTGTGTCCTTGACCGTTTGCCGTATTCAGAGGCGTAGAACAGATTACCTGCTTTGCTGATGGCATACAACTTTTGAGGGTCGGAAAGAGGGAGTTGCGGACTGCCATCGGAGTCCAAGGACATTCCATGTTTCGGTGAAAACAAGTCGATTACCACAGAACCAGCCCATGAGACACGCACAGTGTCTGGTGGTGACCCTGCGGCGGTGGAACTGAGAATCGGGTGGAGCAAATGTGTGAAGAGCCAAGGACCAAGACAGTTGGTAACAATATGCAGTTCATGGCCCTTGACACACGTGGGAGTGTTAGTTGGGTCGGGGAAGATCACATAAGACAGCAAAGTTGCGAGGCTCGACGAACCTGGGCACCTTGAGACCCAGCTGGTGCCAGCATGACTCCTGCATTGTTACAAAGCCAATCCAGCCTTGTCTCCTGTCGAAGGAACTCGTCTGCACTGGCCTTGATTGTGGTCAAATCGGCAAGGTCGAGCTTCAGATATCTGAGCGCTCCCTTAGGCTTCGTCTTTGAGCCGATCGAGTCGACAATGGATGAGATGGCGTGCTTGCATTTCTCCTCTGATCGACCAGCAAGATAGACCGTCGCATTATGTTCATACAGGATTTTGCAGACTTCGAATCCCACCCCGGCATTTCCTCCCGTCACAATACACACCTGTCAAAACACCTTGGATTAGGACATGGTCATGCTGCATATCGACGCCACCCGAGGATTTGCACGTACTTTTCCAGTCTGGTCTGGTAGGGTTTTCTCTGAGATTGCAGGCTTTGGAATAAAGAAAGACTGTGCCAGAGGTCCTTGACGACTGAATGTGTGCCCCATATTTCTACAAAGACCCGAAGTCGTGGTATATCGCACTCGGCGTGAGAGGCAGTGAGTCGAAGTTCGGAATACCTGGATGAGTCCGAAGTGGCGCAACTGAAATCGCATTCGGGTTTGTTGTAGTAGATAGATCAAAATGATGATCTCGTAGGAAATGCCCGATGTGTTTCGAACGCGCGGCGACAAAGTCCATTTCGTCCAATCGGAATCCAGCAGAGGTGTTTCGCATCAGAAGCCCATGTCCGAGTCGCCCACCGGAGCAGAGCCTTGTGAGTTTGTGTTTGATATCTGTAACACCATTATCGGGTCCACTGGCGCAGTCCTTGGGAGATTCGAATCGAGCTGCACCCTGCAAGAGGTAGATTTTATCCGCGGTCACTATCTCTTCACCCTATAACGCCAACGAAGCGTCTGGGACCGGCGAGTTTGTCCAGGGAGTAGTTGCGTCCGGTTAGTGGAGTCTTTGCACGCATATGGGTGGGATTGAGAGCGAAGACTCCGCGTGCACAGTGATATTCCTGTCAAAGCTAGCACATACCATCTTCAAGTCCTCAAACAAGTAACTCGAGTAGGTCAGTTGTGGCAGAAGTATCTGCGCAGAGCCACCAGGAAGCTTGAACATGTTGCCGCAAAAGATTCAAGGTAGCATCTTAGATTGGTCATTCCTGATATTCCAGGAAGGCATTGTGCCACTCGGTCGAAGTGTACGGTGTTGGCGATCGATTGTCGAGCAGACATGGAGAACGCTGGAGATGATTAGGCATGAATCCAGGCCTCTCTTGCGTAGATCTTGATAGCATGATACGGAGATAGGATGCAGCTTTGTTACCATATATCAAGTTGACATCTTACCCACTAGCTAGCATTGTGCGTACCTTGGTTCAATCTTCAGGTCGGAATGCTGGCCGTTACTGTTCAAGGTACTATCCGTGAGATTGCCACGAGTGGGAGGGTCAAGTCTGTTCGTTCTTTGATTCCTCATGGTGATATGGTCGCCGGTGCACTCAATATATGGTTTTGAAGGTTAGTCTTCACGAAGTGCTTCAAGGACACATCTAGTACGGACGAGGAGTTTGCTGAAAGTCAAAGACAGCACGCTCGGTTTGATATGTGCTACTCTGGGCACCTGCTCGACCGTAATGCTGCTTACTCATCCTCCGGAGGACCCAGACTGTGCTACCAGAGCGGCTGCTCGACGTCACCTGAGCCGAGGGTGTCACGCCCCAGGATACAGGGACCTTTAACCCCGATAATCGCCTGTCGGGGTGACAGATTAGAGGGGAAGAGAAAAGAAAAATAGTTACTAAGTAATCAATTTGTCGTATCGGGATCAGATTGACTCGAGTTATCCATTGGTTCTTGCGCCTCGACATCCTCTCCTCTCTACACACAGTCCCATCACATCAAGATCCAATCGCAACATCTCACGACTCACCTCACCAGAGGAGAGAAAGAAAAAAAAAGAACAAATGGCAGCCATACAACCAGCTTCATCCCTCCGACAATGTCTCCGCACAATCTCAACGTCGACGTCTAGAAGAGCTATTACCTGCTCATCCACGTCCAGCACAATCCGCCTAAGCCTCCCACAGCGTCGTCCTGCCTCGACACAAGCATCACAAGCGTCGCTGTGTCTCCCTCCCCAGAAGTCCCTGGACCGCGGACACTTGATGCCCCGCCTGCGCCAGCCCAGGCGACATTTCACGGGCACGAGGTTCATCGCGCGCAATGAACAAACTCCATCGTCCGAGCCGCAACCATCAACCCTCTACACTTTCGCAGACATGCAATCTCTCACGTCCCGCCCGGCGCCGAACCGCGTCATCATCGACGTCCGCGAACCCTCGGAGCTGAAAGCCACGGGCAAGATCCCCGGTGCCCAGAACCTGCCCATAAAGTCCGCGGCCGACGGCTTCTTCCTCGGGCCCGACGAGTTCGAAGAGAGGTTTGGCTGGGAGAAGCCCACGGCGCAGGACGAGGTCATCTTCTACTGCAAGGCCGGCGTGAGGAGTCGGGCGGCCGCGGGTCTGGCGGCGCAGGCGGCGTTCGGGGGCAAGATTGGCGAGTTTCCTGGGAGTTGGATCGAGTGGGCGGAGAAGGGTGGGGAGGTGGAAAAGGTGGAAGAATAAATAGTTAAGGGAAGGGCCTTATCGGATTGGATTGAGGAACTGTGATCCCACACAAGTGCCTACCATATGTATCTACTGGATATGTTGCCGACTATACATACATGACGGCGCAATGAGAAAACGGCATGGACTTCGCTCCCCTAGACACGTTCAAGGACGGACAATGATCAAAGCCGAGAGGCTGGACATATGCCGCGCTGCTTCTACGGATGACGGAGCGATAACCCAATGTCAAAGGGGGTCGCTATTCTTCCTCGCCGCCTCCAGCTATCAAACCCCGAGTGACGAGTGAAGCAACATCTCCGTGTCTACAGCTTGCGCGCTAGCACCCTCGACGTTGGGTGACTGCCTAATCTCTAGGCCCTCCATATCTCTCGCAAGCTTCCCTGGAGGACTTGTCTCGGGGATGAAATCCATGTGATTACCAGCATCTGAGTCGTCGTCGTCCGCGTCCGTTCTCTCTCCAGCCTGCTCCCCTTGCTCGCCAAATGCCTCTTCCCTTCTCCTGTCCACAAGCCACTGTTCGATTTTCTCCTCCGTACGACTCACGGCCAGCAAGAGAGCCTTCACACTCAGACAAGCGACCCCGGCGGCTTCTTCATGGAACTTCTTCACCACGGCACCATCTGCCGCCCTGTCCAGGTCATCGACTTTGAGGTATCGCGGATATCGAGACCCAGGGCGCAAAACGTCCAGGTTGCGCTCACTTTCCTCCTCCAAAGTGATGGCTCGTCGTGTTTTCAGGGAGGATTGGACCTGCATGATTCGCGCGTTGCGGCGTGACTGCTCTTCTTGACAAGCTTTCTCATTCTCTTCCGATGTCTTTGAGCGCTCGGCAACAGCTTGGAGCGGGAACATGTCGAGAATATCCTTCTCGATGTTTTGTTCTTGTGACTGGTCTGCTTGGGAAGCATGCTTGCCTGTGATCCACATCTGTTGGTACCAATCCATGTACTGGTCCAGTTGTTGGTCAGTCATGTCAAGGATATCATTGTCAGTAACATGAATCTCTGAGCCCGGTTTGAGCGTGTTGCCGTCATCGGCAACTTCGTTCTGCTTGTCGAATGTCGCCTTGGCTTCGAGCCACGCGGACCAATCCATTCGCAGTGTTGCTGGGTCGTTGGGATCTTGTGGATAACGCTTTATGGTGTCGGAGTCGAATGGGAAGAGCAGCTTTGTGGCCACAATGACGAGAGAGATGAGTTGAGACTCTGGATATGTTGTTGAGTGGCGCCTCATTGTCTTCAAGGATTTTGCGACGTCAGCGTAGTTGAAGTGATACCGCGTGACAGTATTTAGCCGCCGAGCAACACTGTAGATCTCGAGCGGCAGAGCGAGTTGGCGGATATAGCTGAGCAGCAAGAGATTCTGGTTGAGCTGTGGCATTGCCATGCCGAACGAGGTATCGTACCATTTTGCGCGGTGGTAGACAACTTTCTGAAGGTCATCAGGCTCCAACAACCGAACGGTGTCCAATGCTTGTTGATACTCTCTCGGTAGTCTGTCCTTCATGTCTTGAGGGACGTGCCGAATCGCGCGGATGAACGGAACCTCTTCTTCGAGTATCCATCTATTCGAAGCGCATCAGTGAGAGTTTCCAGATTTCCAGTTAGACCTACTTCAAGACTTCAGCAAGTCCAATGGGTCTCCTAAGCATGACCATGCCCAGATAATTCAGAACAATGGTATCAACAAGCGTAGGATTGCTGTGTGCCGATTTGTTCCTCTTAGATGGCTGGGGCCTCACTTCGGTGTCGAGACCAGTATCCGTCTCGTTGCCAGAGCTTGCTGTCGTGTCCGCATTGTCCGATGCATCAGCAAGGCCATCGCTGAGACGATGCTCTAGCTTCGAAAGCCACAAGGTCCACAAGTCTCTGACAATTTCCTAGGTCGCTGCTGTCAGTGGATTTCGAAGAGACGCCGGTCAGGGGACGCAGAGCCGTTTTACAACTTACCCACAACTCTGCCGGCAATCCTTTCTGATGGACAAGCACATGACTTTGCTTCCACAGAATGAACTGCCATGCTTGAAGGAAGAGCTGGTAAGCTTTGGGACCATGAAGCACTATACAACGCGGCAGGTTAGTTGTCCGGTTTCGACCTGAACAGCTTCGCGGCTCGTATCTGAACTGACAAACCTTTGGAGATCTTTTGCTTCTTCTTGATTTCCTTCTTCCTCACCACGGTGCCCTGTCTTCCAAAGTCGGCATCGTCCTCGACAGTCGCAAGACCCAAACCCTGATCGTGCCCGTTCGCGCAAAAGATCCTCCCGTCTTCATCGTAAAACTCCGTTGAGCCACAGGTGCCGCACTCGTCTCCGTCCATGTTGACCAAGTGTGGATGACCAGAATTTCGCTGACATGGCGGTTTGTGCCTTGTTGGGGCGTGTTCCGAGCCGAGAATACTTGGACGCGATTGAGGATCACAAGGTAAGATAGAAAAGAGAAGTACAGACCAATGCAGAGTGCCAAAGGAGGAAGAGCCCAAAGCGACAACTTCTCACTTGTTTGCACATGTTGGTACCGCTGCTTTTAGAGGGACTCACCCCGCGATTTTCACAAGTTGCCCACAGGATGCGTGAAATGACATGCCGCTGCTTTTGGCTGTCTCTTGTCTCCTCCAACACCTCTTCCTGTTGTTGTCTTCCACCACCCCCACCATCACCATCACTGGCGATACGAACCACTACTCTCAGCAGCCAGGTGCTCGTGTTGACTGCTGAGGAGATGATCACAAGTATAGACAGTGGCCAGATACCCGCACAGAATGCCGTGGAGTCAACATGGTGAAGGACTTCTTCATTCATATGCTTCACCTCACGGTGCATTGACCGCAAAATCTCCTGGTATCTACCATCTCCCCGGACGGCTTGGTGGCCGGAAAGATCCAATGCTGTCTCCGGAGTAGAGTCTATCCATGGGTACAATTTGACAGCGAAGATGAGGTCTCAGGTTGACAGATCATAATAGTCTGCAGGCACCCACGGGGGCATATACATGAACAATTCGGCTCCATGGACCACTGTTACTAAAAGAGAAGTCTGACTCTACTATCCCAAAGTATAGATTGAAACATCGACTGTGTTACAACTCCACCACGACTTTCCAAATGCAGGCTGTCAAGTGATGGTGATGTGTGATGCAACTACAGACGACTGGAGTCACAGCAAAACCAATCAGCGCTCAGATATTTCTATCCGAGGCGAGGAAAAAACCGCCATGTTGGTAGAAACCGTACATCAATGGTACCAGAAGCAGGCCACTGTAGTTTGGTAATTGCTCTGTTATTTGTCTAGCTACCACTTTTCAAAATGCAGAAGGTTGCTGGTCCGTCATTGAATGAAAAACAGTCGCTTTTTCAGGGCAAGCCACAGATCTATGGCCCAGCTGCCTCCAGGCAAGTTCGTATCTTTTCGCCTACTCTAATTTTCGGCATGTGCAAACTTGCCCAACACTAAGAACGCTGAAGTATGACCTGGGTTTCCTGATCCATAAATACATCAGTCGTGAAGAGGGCGTCGCAGATCTGCTAATTTGACTCGAATGGGCCGTTTATTTGGGAGCTTCCTTGGCATCGACAGCAGCCTCCTCACCCATCGCAGTCAAGACAATAACGTCTGTCGAGGCATTAGCGATCCGATAAGAGAGTGATGGCATTTTCCGAGAGGGTTACTCACTGGTGTCCTTCTCATCAGTGCGGAAGAGTTTCTCAATCTTCTCTCCAACTTCACCCTCGGGCATCTTGACATCGTCCTTGGTGGAACCATCATCAGACATAAGGGACAAGAAGCCGTCGTCAGTAATGTCAAGCTGTGGTCTTTATTAGCGTCCACCGCCTGCCATATATTGCCTAGCACCCTTCTCTTACCAGCTGGTATTCACGACGAGTGACGTTCGGGACATCCATGTTGTGGGTGGATGGGGAAAGATCTTCCATCTTGCGGCCGGTAAAGATGTCGAGGGCAACCAAGTGGACCTTGGCGTGGCCGTGTTTGCCAGTCTTGGAGGTGGACATTTCAACAATCTTGCATGGGCGACCCTTGATGACAACGAAGCCGTTCTTCCTCAAGGCGGAACATTGCATCGGGTAGGTGGCCGAAGCTCCGGCATCGGCGGACTCAAAGGTGTGCTCATGCTAAAAACAAGGCATGTCAGTGTCTGGTGCGACGAGGAGATACCTCGAGATCTCGATACGGGGGGATTGTAAATGCGGCGACTGGTTTGCGCAAGGACAAAAAGGCGGGGGAGATTTTCAAGGAGAGGCATGCATACCTGCGCGTCGTTGTCCGCCATCGTGGAAAGGTGAGAAGATGTCGCTTACAAAAAGAGAGGAAGATATGCGGTGATGGAAAGGATGATATCAAAGGGGGAGCGACAAATTCTCGAAAGAGAGGGATGGATGGGAGAACAGGAACCCAGACCAGGCCAAAGGAAAATATCGTTTTGCAGGAAGTGGGATCTGGGATCGTGGACATTTGCAGAGGGGCAACTTGCCGCCCAATCGATAGCCAGGCACTAACCTGTTTGGGAGCAATGATCTTGGCGTGTGTCTGTGCGTGAAAACTCGCCTCGACAACGCCACCACGAGGCACCAGAGACGGCCGAGTCTTGACGTCAACCCCTTTTCGGTCAGGAGATGCGCCTGTCATGATCTATTCTACCTCTGCGCCGAGAAGTTGCTTAAAGCGTGTCTGAAGAGATGACTTCGCGTCTACCCTGCTGCGAAACAGAGCCACTGGTCAGAGCAGACAACGGTCTCAGCAGGCATAGCGCGTTAATCAATGAAAATGGAAGAAATTTGCATGTGAGAGGCGCAAATATGCCATCAATAGCACAAACATGATGACCTCGTCTACTATATCAATGTTGCTAACTTGTACTGCAAACCTCACCTATTGTTCTTGGTCGGCTTAACAACCACCTGGACCCCTTTGGAATCAAGTCTGGGGAATGGAAGGAAGAAGTCGTGAGCCAACTCAACATCACTCTTGTCGGTTTCGTACAGCTCAAACTCAAAGTATCGAAACATAGCTGCCAGTGTCAAGTAGAGCTCAGCGTAAGCGAGGCTAACACATGACGCAAACAATATCAGCACAGGCCACAGAAGTTGGGGAGGGGGATCTGATGTCCAACTCACTTGATTCCCAAACAGGACCGCGTGCCTTTGCCAAACCCTACAAAATACCTGTCCAAACTGGATCCATTCTTTGCTTTGGGGGAGTCGAGCCACCTCTCAGGGACAAAGGATGTCGAATTGGGGAAGATTTCTTCGTCATGGTTGAGAAACGGGATTGTCATCGAGATTGGTGTCCTGGCTGGGATGGTCCATTTGCCGTATTGGATCGGCTTGGGAAATAGACGGGCATTTCGTGCCGTCGTGGAATAAGACAACCGGACGGCTTCCTTTATACAAGCTGACAGATATGGCAGCTTCTCTAATTCTGTCCACTCGAGCGGCGCGCTGGGGTCCACCTCGTTGACGTCTGGAATGGCTTCCTCGAGCTCTTTGCGTAGACGTCCAAGGACATTCGGGTCGCTCAAAATATAGAAGGTGGCTACACTGAGCGTCCAGCCGGTGGTGGAAAGCCCGGCACCTATGATCAACTGTGCTTCATCCTGCAGACGGCGGTCAGACTTCTCACTGGCAGGCAGGTCGCCACGAAGCAGCTCGGAGAAGACAGTCGGGTGTTCGGATTTCTCAGCGAGCGCGTCAATCCTGCCAGCTTTCAAGTCGACGATCTGTTTGGCAAAGTCCTGCAAGCGTCAGAAAGGTCCAACCAGAAGCAGAAGCACTGTGAAGGCTCACTCGTTGCATCTTGAAGACGAGGGCATATAATGGTTCCAGCTTGACGAGCCAGGACTGTGGTAAGCCATTCAAGATTTTGGGCACCATTGGGAACTGCAATGACAAGTTTCCACTGATGCTGACGGCCCTGAAAGGGTCATGCAGTATGGGGGTCCATTCAGGGATATCGAGGCTGTTATAGTCGTGGGCGAAGCAGTATTCCATGATCACATCTTCCGCCAAGGCCATATAGCCTCGACTGATTACTGCTGGGGCGCCAGACTGCTGGTATTCTCGGGCTTTCGCGATCAACTGATTGAGCTTCTTGCGAATGATGACCTGCAGATCAATGATTCTCTTCCGCGAGAAGAAAGGATTCAACGCGTTTCGTCGGATACGATGCAGCTCATCCGGAGCAGTACTCAAGACCGAGTTCTCATTCCCAAATCGACCGGACATCCAGCTGTATTTATCGACCCTCCCGGCCTTGGTATAGATGGTGTCCCAGAAGTCCGAGTCCAGGATATGAACCTCGTCTGGGGTGATACGAACGATTGGTCCTGTTCGTCTCGACATGCATCAAGTCAGTCCCAGTCCCAGGCCGGTTATCCGCATCCACCGCAGTCTTGGACATCTTGACGCACCATACTTCTCGTGAAGGGCCTTGATATAGAAGATGAATTTGCCTTGTAAGTGTACATCGTAGTAGTATTCATGCCATGTGCTTATCGCTGCGTACTTGGGGCCTGGGAAACGAGCCAACGGGTGGAAATACAGTCTGTATACGACGAGCCCAAACAGATACGTGAGGCAGGCGACACCGGAGAGGATCAGACTCGCAGAGAGATACGAGTACGACATTGACGACATTGTGCGTCGACGTTGGCAGAGCAAACACAAAGTAATAGAAAACAGAGTTTCTGTCAAAGGTTGAAGAATTGACCTGATTTGATTGATTGCGAATCCCTCAGCGCAGCAAATGCCCCGTGAATGTCCGTTACAATCATCATCAATCGAGCCACCCACATGTCTAGACTGCGGCAGAACCACCTCAAACCACTCCAACCACTGCAACCACTGCAACATCAAAACTCTTGCGGTGTCGATCCTGCAACCGATGTCTCTGCCGAATATTCCTCGTCCGCCATTCGTGAACCTCAATCTCATGTCTAGCCTCTTTACCGCTTAGGTCGAGGCACTAGTGAGGTGTTGCGCACCGCGTTTCCGTTCTTCCCGCCTCGCCCCGACGGCGTGTGGTGCAGTCCGTGCCCAATGGCCACCCTTGAGAGTTCGGCATCGTCCTTTGTGGTGCTTGCGGTGCATGTGGTAGACCTCTCGATGCACAATTCTACTCGTCAGGATAAAGGTGCCGGTCCTTGTTTTGGATGCGACGACTGCTGACGGGCGACTCGTAGTTCAAAAACGTGTCCGTGCGTCCCGATCCTCTTGGAAGCGCCCACCAGATCCCCATCAGCGGTCAGGCGTGGGCTCTTTGACAGACCAAACAGTGAATGAATGGAGGATGGTGGCTTGCTCACGAGAAGAAGAAAACTCGAGAGAATCTTTATCTCTCCGGCAAACCTCTCCGGAACTCTGAGCATTCTTTCCTTCTTCCTCCTTTACCCATAATGTGGATTTCTCGTGACGGTGGTATCGTGTCGATATGGCTGCTACCGAAAATACAGGATACATCGAACCCGAGCAGTTCAACGACGTCGACTCCGGGCTGGGCGACCTGATCTCGGAATCTGACACCGAGTCGCTGCGGTCTAGTCTGCTGCAGAGCGTCTATGAAAACGGGCGTGGCTATCACAAATACAAGGATGGGCTGTACTTCATGCCAGACGACGAGCGCGAACAAGAGAGGCTGGACATGCAGCACGAGATCTTCCTCAACACTATGAACAACAAACTGCTCGCAGCCCCCGTCGAGGCTGGCGCCACCTTGGACGTCCTCGACATCGGCACCGGCACAGGCATTTGGGCAATCCATTTCGCCGACGACAACCCGCAGTCGACGGTGCTGGGGACAGACCTCAGTCCCATCCAGCCCTCCTTCATCCCGCCCAACTGCAAATTTGAAGTCGACGACTTTGACCAGCCCTGGTGTTTTTCTCAGAAATTCGACCTCGTCCATGGGAGAATGCTTGCCGGCTCGCTGGGGGACCCTCTCAAATTGCTCCAGCAGGCCCACCACGCCCTCAAGCCCGGGGGGTGGGTCGAGCTGCAAGACTTTGCCTTCCCGGTCCGCTCCGACGACGGAACCATGGTGGGAACGGCTTTTGAGCGCCTCAACGACAACCTGGTCCGGGGCCTACATCTGCTGAACCGCGACGGGAGCTGGGCCGCGCAGTACAAGCAATTCCTAGAGCGGGCGGGCTTCGTCAACGTTGTCGAGACGCGGTACAAGTGGCCGCAGAACCGGTGGCCCAAGGACCCGCACCTCAAGAAAATTGGACACTGGAACATGGTCAACACCCTCGACGGTCTGCACGCCTTCTCCGCCCGCCTGTGCACCAAGGTGCTCGGGATGGGGCTGGAAGAGTTTGAGATTCTGTTGGCCGAGTCGAGAAGGGACATTCGAAACCCCAATATCCATGCCTATTGGCCCATGTAGGTGGTTTTCCTCTTTTTGCTCCAACTCGACCTTGAAATTTCGAGTGGGGTATTTTCGCTGACCGTTCTGGCTATCTATAGTTATGTAGTGTATGGGCAGAAAGCTTGACCGACTGTGTTGATGGGATGGGGTGAACTCGCACTAAATGATGCGAGACATCCATTCGGGAGCATACGTTTCTTGGGTCAGACTCTCCCAGGCACTCGTATCTGGGGAGTTCCACAGCCCTTGGGACATGGAGACCCAGCTGCCTCGGGAAGGTGGTCCCGGACACTCTTTATCCAGGCCATGGAGTCCTTGCATCGACCGCTGGCCTCGATCACCTCTGGTGGCTCTGGCTGCTGTGGAAGGTCTGTTGGGGTAATTAACTACCATACAGCTTTACCCAAAAAAAGGGTCAAGAATGCAGTTTTGGAGAAGATCTCTAAAGCGAGACAAACAGCGGCGAGGCACTTGAAGGTCCAGTTGCCTCAAACCTTTATACACAAAGGACCATTTTTCGGACGATGCTCAAGGCCAGTTCTGCTGCAAACCCACTTCTCCAGCATTCTCTGCGGTTGAGCTCGTCACTCTGGCAAGGAGTCAACGTTACAGATGCACCTACAGCCGCGAGGCTAGCCTATCGTGTTCGCCGGCCGAACTCTCCTTCTCTTTCCACCCGGCCACCAGGTCTTCCACGACGACAAGCTCATCTTGACCCCATATAACGCCGCTTTCGGGCGCACAATTCACCCACCCCTGGTCCGTCTTGTCAAAGACGCGATACGACGGGACACCGCAGATCCCCGCATCGATGGCATCTTGGGTGTTGGCCCGCAATTGCTCCTTGACTTGCGGCGAAGAAGCCCTCTTGAATAACGTGTCGGTATTGCACCCCGCGGTGGCGAGGTACTCGGCCAGGGCCTTGTCGTCGGAAACGTTGACGTTGCGTTCCCAGCATGCTCGGACTATTTTGCACTCTCCAGTGGTTAGAGGTGCGGTGACAATGACTCGTGAGAATTGGAGGGGGAAGAGCACAACTTACACAGCAACGGAGTGAGATTGGGATCTACAATGGCACAGCGCAAGGCCGTGGGCGTCCGAATGGGGAATTGGGTTGGCCAGTGCATTTCCACCGGCTTATCGTGAGATCCGCGTTGCTGGTTGATGCTGTTCCAGTGGCGGATCCAGTCACCCATGTCTTTGTGCATGATATCTCTTTTGGCCTGCGACACGGCTGCCATGGGGAGGTTGGGTGCGCCGACTCTGATTGGATCCGTCAAAACTTCGATCGCCCAGATTTCTTCTCTCCCACTCTTAGGGAGGATTGGCATGGGAAAAAGAACTCACTCTCTGAACAGGGCGCCCACCAAAATGGGCTTCATGACAATCTCGACGTCCGGGCCAAACTGTCTCTTCAGCCGGTCCAATTGGGTCCAGCCCAAAAACGCCCAGGGACTGCTAAAGTCGTGCCAGAACTCGACGCGTTTCTGCCCGACGGAAAATCCTGGCGCACACCGGGGCTGCAGACTTGCGAGGTTGGGGACCTGGGCGTAGTCGCAGCCGCGTTTCACGGCGAGGAGCGCCGCCTCGACGAAGTGCATGCGGTCCTGGCCCCAGTAGAGGCGACCTTGGTGCGCCTTGCCCTGGTCGTCCACCCACTGCTCCCCCTCGACCCAGAACGCGGGCACGCCGCAGGTCCCGCGTGCAATGACCTCGGCGGTCGAGGCGCGCAGGGCCTCCTGGGCGTCCTTGTCGTCGAACGCGGCTTCGGTGAGCGACGACGCGCTGCGGATGCCGCTTCGCCGGGCCACGTCCAGCAGAACCGACTTGTCGGTGATGTTGAGGTCCTCGACCCAGTAGGCCCTGAACAGTGCGTGAGTGAGGGCCGGGCGCTCCTCCACGGGGACGTAGTAGAGCAGCCGGAGCGCCAGGACCGGGGACTGCGGGTGCGCCGACGGCCAGTTCAGCTCGACGTGGCTGCGCCGCAAGGACCGGTGCATGGCCCGCGACAAGAGGCGTTTCTTGGTCGGGTTGAAGACGTCGGACGCCGACCCGGCGGCGCCTTGCGGGGCGGCCGTCTCGCGATAGATGGCGCCCAGGAGGACAGGCGTCCAGATGAGTTCAGCTTCGGTGCGACGAGCGAGTGCAGCGACGCTAGACACGCCGACAAACAGAGCCACTCGAGTTAGAATAAGTCAAATACTTCTTCGACAGGACTCCCCAGGAAAGGAAGGGGGGAGAGGGTACATAGTATATATGTGTACATGCAGTAACCACAGTCCCGCAGTTTTTTGTGAGTGTCACCTACCGAAGCGAGCCCATGTAGGCAAACGGGCATGTTACCTGGTCAATTTACACTCGCGTCAATATCCGAGCTGGTCTGTCAAGAAGGGGTCGTCTCGAGAAGACCCGAGGTGAGGTGTGGACTGTAGATATAGGATAGGATAGGATAGGATGGATAGGATAGGATGGATAGGATAGGACAGTTGACCCATGTAACATCTAACATCCAACACAGAACATCCAATCTAAAGACAGCCAGCCAGCCAGCCAGCAAGAAAGAAAGATAAGGGAAAGGGTCAAGAGAAAACAAAAACGCACATCATAGTAGAATTTCAGTGTCGGTCTGTCCTGGCGGGCCATTTTTCTCTACTCTCTCTTTTCGGAGTCACTTGAGATGGTTGTTTCGGTGGTGGTTGTCTAGTGGTGGTGACTCTGTCGTCGGGTCGTCGGGTTGTAGGATCGCAAAGAGGAGGAGAATATATCGATCGATAGATCAGACTCGCTGGCAGGTCAAACGTCAATGTCAATGTCAATGTCGTCGTCGAAGAGGAGAGGTAAAATGAAGTGATGTGAGATTATTCAAGTGGATAGATATCTCGTCGGCACTCCCGAGGGGCATGAAACATGGGACATGGGACACTGGACATGGGATATGGAAATGGGGAAGTAACCGACTCAAGTAAAGATCAAGCTTTTGTTACAAAGGATCGTCTACAGAAACTTGTACGTTTGTTGAATTGGTGAGTGAGAATTGGGGCACCTCTAACCTCGTCATCTTTGTTGTCGTTCAGGGTCGAACCTCGGCAACCCGGTAATAATATTCAATGGAACAAGAAAATCCAAAAGGAGTAAAAGCGGGCAAGGAAGGCGGGGTCCATACACAGCCTCGTCGTCTACGGACAAACACCGAGCCCCTTGCAACGTGCAAAAAATATACATGTCCAGAAAGCCAGCATGCCTCGTATACTTCGGTGGCTTGTCTGTACTTGTACTCGGTGATGCAACTCACAATATCGCAGATCGAGTACCGGCAAAAACCTCAATTGACACTGACTCCTGGCCCCGAGCTGGCATTCTCTGCTGAGATCCATTGCGTAGCCTTCCCTCTGTCACCACTGTTGGAAGTATATCAATGGCTCCCTGGGTGAAAAGTCTCTGATATTCTCGAGGAAAGGCATACATATGCTCAAAAGCTGGGGCAGGAATCGGTCGGATACATACGTCTTCGCCGGTATAGTCGGTCAACATGAGATCTGGGCAGAACGACACATACCTCTCTCCATATTCCTGCATGGCGGGAAAATCATGCTCAAATATCTGCATTTCGTCGCGTCAAAGTCTTCAGGCTCCTGCCGGTTCAATACAGTTGAATAGGAGTCCATCGATGATGAAATCAAGATCTTGAAGTTGACACCATCACGCAGGGGGATATGGAGCGTGCGCGCGTTCTGGCACGACTGGCAAGGGGAGCAGCCATCACAAGAGATTTTCAGGATAGAACAACAAATGCAGGATGATATTTGACGAAGTAGGTGTGCTTTTCTCTTCACCACCGGTGTGAGGGGCTGTCTCCTTGATGGCATTTCTCTTGACGCGTTGAGTAACAACGAAATTTCCATGATTGACTGTTGACGTGTTACCGGGAGACTGTTTGAGATGAAACTGCTGTGGTAAAGGTAGCGAGGTTTGTCGGGGCTCTCTGGGTGCACATCGTGTAGAAAATTTGGGTGGGAAATCGACTGTCTTATATAGACCGCATCGAAGAGATTGGTTCTTTCCCCAGAGGTCGTTGCATGCTTGGAAGAATCATCGGACCGTGACAATAGTAGTCTGCTTGCGGGACCCGGGAATGTCAACTTTACTCCATCATCACTGGACGTATCAGCAATAATCTGGCTGGTATTCTCCGACGTAGTATGGTCACTCCATTGGTACGGCGAGCTCGTCGATGCCCCGACTAGATGGATTTCTAGCTGGCGTGCCGGTGTCTTGAGTCTTGACTCTTTCACGAACCAGCATCTCCGGCGGCTGGACCGACCGTATGAACGCGGTAAAGGGATCGGTTTGGTGAAATTGAAACATCCGCATGACCGATTTGTATTCTTCGAGCTAATGTGGCCGAGATTGCAGGAGCCATCTACATGTCCATTCCGACGACGGCTCATCAACCTGGTCCAGATCTGGTCATCGTGATATATATTATCGAGCACAAGAGCGATGGGGAATCTGCCCTGGGGGAATAAGGATTTGGGTACTGAGGGGAAGATACAGTCGTGTTAGAAGGCAATTGGCTCAAATTGGTGACGTGCGCATGCGGCGTAATCTGCATGCAGTTCATCCTCGCTGATCATTTTCTGGTAGGTAAAGCGTGATATAACGAATGATATACAGTAAGAAGTATATCAGTAAACGTTTCCTGGAATTCATTTATAGTGGCGTATCAAAGCAATAGGATTGACTCAAAACGTTATTATACTGTACACATACCAAAGGGAATATCAACGGGCGCCAAAACTCACAATTGTCTGCTCTATTCCAAAAATATGTGTCTGGGAACACCCTGCGCCTGTGTACTATTCAAAGTGCAAGCACACTGTGAATAGGCCAGCGACTTCGACTCGACACATGTGCCCAACCGCCAAAAGTCGATCCTCTCCATCATGGTGCGAACGACTCGAAAATACGTCGAAAGCCTCGAGCACTAATCGACGTGATCTATGTCCGGAGTGTCGAAAGAAAGGGTCCAAGCCGAAGAGAGACGACGAGGGTACTGGATCTGGCGGTTCAGCTCACACATTTCCATCTGCTGTACAAGTTGGTGCATAATTGTCTAGGTATGGCAGTCTGAGCCTCCATGAAGCAATGCTGATCTGATGTTGAGGCTTATTCATCGTCAACCCATGCCCCCGACTGGCAGCCTCACCGGGAGAAAGGGTGTTCTTCACGCTCAAAACGACAGATTAATTCAGTCCGCCAAAGACTCCCACCACGATCATTCTGCCAGCCTACTTAGTACCTCCTTGTTAGCAAATAACTTCATAGCAGACACATACTGTAGAAATGGCCTGAAGTAAATTACATCTTTCCCAATCGTCCTTTGGTTTCATGTATGTCGAGCAATATTCGCCTTCAAGCCGTGCATTCAATATACTAAATGCTTTCTGTTGCTGAAGAGGGTTTTATGAGCGTCCTTTTTAAGCGTTTCCATCCCAATATACTGTCCATGCCAGCATCTCTCAACGATAGTTCGGCAGAAAAGGTTCCCTGATAGAGGCAATTCGTGCGGATTCGGCCACTGCATATCATTTTCCTTATCGAAAAAGTAATAGCGATGTACGTGCCAGACAGCGATCGAGTAGATAACCCAGCCAAGATGTAGAATCTCGATTCTCGTCGTCAAATCATTATCGCAGACTGTGTCCATATCTGTTGATATAGGTAATATTATGGACTGGCCGAAATCTGCCAGTTTAAGTTGTCCATCGGCAACCAGGAAATTTCGTAGGGCAATGTCGTCCACTAAAACTCTTCGGGAATGGACGTAAGATAATGTATCAATAATAGACAAGATCCATTCGATCTTAAGAGATTCTGGTGGCTCGGGGTTAGAATTGATGTAATCTTCCAAGTTGCCTTGTTTAGCGAACGCCAACTCAATCCCGTAGTTTGATGTTTGAAAGCAGGATAGGATTCCCTCATAGTGACCAAGCCGCTGGTAGATCTTTATTTCGTTCTCAAGTGTTTTGCGGTTGATCTCATTTATATAATCCATGTGATCGAAGTCTGGTGTTCCGACATAAGCATCCAGTGAGTATGTTTTTGCAACCTTAACAACACGTTCCTCGTCCAGCTGGAGAATGTAGCCCGTCATTCCGTGGCCAGTCATTGGCAGGCCTGCGTAAGGATCCGAATCGTAGACTACGTGCGGCCATGGTTCTGGCGCCGTCGTGGTAGTATTCATTCCGGCAGGGAGGATGGCAGTGTGCTGGGCTGCAAAAGGAGTCTCAGACGAGGAGGGCATGTATTAATCAACGATTTGAGGTCTTTAGTGACGGCAGCTTCATACTGCAAATATGGGGATGGGAGTAAAGAGACGCGGTCGTTTCGTAAAAGCACGCAGCGCGGACTTGGAGATTGCGGACTCAGAGATTGAGGGTCGGTGGAGCTTAGTGTCCTGCATAGGGACTGAGAGACTTCGAAGAAGAGTGAGTAAAGGTGACGAGAATATGACAATTACCAAAGGAATGCGAGAGGACGGTAGGATGCAGGTCGACGGCTGTCCTTCCTAGAAGGAGATGTTGCGCCTCATGCCTGGAAAAGGGGGAAGGTTTCGCCTGCTTCCGAAAGATCAGCGTAGGAATATTTAGGCAGGTTAACCGAACTTTTGACGTCAATCACGCCTCTACTCGGTGCTCGGTACAATTTCGTCCGGCATACTCGGTAATTACAGTACGAGGTACTCTTTGCTGGAAGATACTTGGTGTCCCTCGGCGCACTTTCCTCCTTCCCATTGCATAGGCAATAATTGCTACCGACAAAGTGAATCAGGAATCTCTACCGGCAGCCTGGCAGCCCTGGCAGCCTGGGTAGATAATAATCCTTCAGGACCGAGTCTTTCCAACTCAGATTCACCGGTCTAATTCATCATGCCTGGTGACTAGTAGCACTGTCTTTTATATACCCTATCACGCTCACGCTCACCTCTCTCAACATTGATGTCACTCACCCGTGACGAGCCCACGATCAGCAAAAGTGTCTACGGCCAAAGCCACAAGCGAAGTTTTCTGCATACACAAGAATGAAAAGAAGTCAATGGACTACATACCGCAGAAGCTGCGACAGAATCATGATGGCGATATCTGTCTGTTATATGAGCTCTCAGTCATTGCACCTCCCATATGTCTAGCCACATACTTGGCAAGATTCGTGGCTGCAAAAGTGAACCTTGGTAGGCTTAATCTCTCACAAGTACAATGGTTTGACCATGGAATCTTCTTGAGGGCCGTGTCGTTCGAGACAAAATGCTGAGGGAGGCAGATACCGTATGGTGCACCAACATCTTTACTCCGAATTATAAGCAGGTAGGTGCGATATCGATGATTTGAGGGGTCGATATGGTTAATGTGCATACTTGGTAGCCCGAGGAGTTTTATGACACCGTTAATTGAAGACAATGTATCGTGGGATCTCTGAGAGAGATGCATTCATCATCTCTGCTGAGTCCAGCATCCTGCTGAAAAAACCTGATGCCAGGACCAATGGCTGCCCGACGAACACTCTAGGAGCTATGCCAAACCTGCCGGCACAGACACCGATTCCGACTTGTTGACCGCCCTATATGTTCCCTATTGTGTCGCTAAACAAAGCCCTTTGTTATCGCGCTCCTTTGACGTCTTTCCCAAGTGTGGGTCAGCGGACAGAAAGTACCTGGCTAGGAGTACTTGTGATTGGGCCAACTTGAAATGCTCCACCTGTAGGGCGGGCAGGCAGATACACACCAGGACCAGACGAAAGATGGCCGAGTAAAACTGCTACCTTGACAAGAGGCTTTAGAGACTGGCCGTCAGACACGAGCATAGATGATTGCGAGCCCGGCAACAGGTCCTCTACATAGATCGTATGGTTTTTCTCTCCTACCATGATCTGGGATTGCCGTCTTAGTCACTACAGTGTGGCCGAAGTTGACGTTAACATGGTGACCTCTAATTAACATGCTTGTCGTAGAAGGGTAGCCATAGACATCACTAAAGCCCAGATAGGTGTAAGTCCTGGGTCAGAAACAAATACGGTGGAAAACTGATAGCATTAACTAGCTCACTCCACCAAGGGGAAGGTCTCGTTAGCTACCGGGCAATGCTTTCACCTCTACCGCCACCTGTGGGACGTTCTTCGTGATATTGGCCTTTACTCCCGCCTTGCGCCATCCGTTGAGTGTCGCAGGCAAGACCTTGAGCGCTGGCTCAAGGTAGCCATCGTGGGCCAGGCACACCAGCACATCCTCCCTCTGACTGATTTCGTGGAGCTTGCCTATCGTCGCTTTGGCTGTTTCAAGGTCCTTGTGCATGGAATATGCCCCATTGGGTCCGTGTCCTTCGCCTAGCATGCCCTCGCCAGTAAAAATCTTCCGGTGGTGGCAACAGTCACCACCCATGACCACATATTCGTCCACTCCTGTACGAGCGAGCCCCATCAAATGGCCCGGCATATGTCCAGGCGCATCGAGGAGGAGAAAGCTCCCGTCACCGAAGAAGTCGAACGCCTTGGGGAACGGACCGAATGGTATCCATTGATCTTCGTCGTATGAAAGTTCGCGGACACTGGGATGTTCGAGGATGGAACCTAAGAAAGGCGAATCTGGATTTGTTGGGTAACCTGGGTATGAAGCAGCCTTTGAGCCTGGCCCTACCACAACCTGGCTGTGCGGAAATTCTCCTGGATTTCCGACATGGTCAAAGTGAAGATGACTATAGACCACATAATTGATCGATGTGGCCGGGATGCCTGCCTCGTCGAGCAATTCAGCGGCACTTTTGGGTACTCGAGGTTCGGTGAGAACAAATTCTTCTCGAATGCATCTAGGGTATGCTTCCAAGTCCTAAGCAAAGTGTCTTAGCAAATGCAAAATCGAGTACGGAGATCAGAGTTCCATACCTTGCGAATACCCAAATCAAACATAAGACTTTGTCCGCTTGCCTGATGGTGGACATAGAAACTGTAGTCCGGATACAGCGTCTTTGCCGCAAGGTCTGCTCCAGCAAGGATCCATTTGTCTGGCAAGAAGAGTTGCCCCGTGGGTACCAACGACACCTGCACAATCTGCTCTTTGTGAGTCCCGTTCTGCATCTTCAGCGACTGTGCCTGCGGGCATGCACGACTCACATTCCAGATCACCGAGTAGACAAGCCTTTATTGTTTGGTGCTGGTCTTGTCGCAACAGATCTCCATCGCGGATGTGCGCGGCGCATAATTCTCCTCTCACTTCTCTTGACCCTACCCTATCTGGCGTCGCCCTTCAGCATGGCGAAAGAGGAAGATGGCTAGTCGCCGGCAGGAGGAATCTTTCGGGATCTGATCCCGAAGGCCACTGAGACTTTCCAATAGGAAGGGACCCGCGGCTTCGACGGCCAAGCCACTTGCTTCTGCAATTGGCCATTGCCCTTCTCTCGGCATGGCCCAGATTCAAAGGTTAGGATCCATCGTTGTCGCTTCGTGCAAACCGACTCCGCAATCTCCGCAATGCAATGCAATTTGACGCACTGCTAGCACGTGGAGAACTTGGGGTTGGAAATGTGCGGGAGCGAGTGGGAAGTGAGTGAAAAGTGAGTGGGAACCTGAAGCTGAGGATTTGGTCGAGGATGTTGGGCTTGGCTTGCAGTTTACCGCAGTTTGTCGCAGTTTGCTGCATTCTCGTGATTCCCAGACGCCGCCAACCTTGCACGTATCTTACTTTTTTCCCTGTTCAAGCCGATGTACATCTGTTCAATCCATCGAGTCTATTCAGCTGGAGATACAGTATTGTCTCCGTGGAATCAGAATAAATTGGCTCTTAAAGGACAAGGTCAAAGGTGATGAACGAGCTCCAAGACCTCGACTCCGGCCATGATCTCAACTATCCCCCTTCGAAGCGACGACGAGTCGGCATGGCTTGTATTCCCTGTCGCACACGGAAAGTGCGGTGCGATGGAACTCGGCCAAAATGCTCTGCCTGTTTGCGCAATTGCACCTCGTGCGCATATCAGCCTGCAAGCCAGATGGTCAATGTCTCCCGAGAGTGAGGAACCATGTGGAGTTATTTCTCGAACCTGTCTAATCGAAATTCAGATACATAATGAAGCTCAAGCAAAGGGCGGAAGCAGCAGAACAACGTCAAGGGGTGGTAAACTCTACCGAGCCCAGTCCACCGTTAAACCAACGGCGACAGGACCTTCAGCGCCGCGAACTGCTGAGGAATTCTCTTGAAGAGGCTACCTCGAGTATGTCAGAACTAGTTTCATACTCACGTAACAACATCAGCACGACTCGAAGTCGAGACGTTGAGCGTGCCCAAGACAAACAGGCGCCGGACTCCAACAATGGCCCAGCAACCATAAATCAGCTCGACAAAAGCCCCGGTCATGGTCCTCCATCACTACATCAAGGACTCAATGAGGAAAGGATAGCAACAAAGGACTTTTCGTCCAAAGTGTCCTCCGTGGAGAAAGCGGACAGACCTCGATCTTGGTCGCTTCCCGCCTCTCACGATGCCACCAGTTTCGAAGAGCCCAACCCCGATGATTTCTACGGGGATTCATCCACCCTCTCCTTCATGCAAGCTGTCCAAACAACAATCATCTCAAACTCGTCTCCGGATTCCGTGTCGCCAGACTCGAACTATAGAAGTGGAGCCAAACCACGCCAGACCCGGGCAGTCTCATTCCGTTTTGGCGTGGAGAATTGCTTGCCACAACGCTCTCTTGCTGATGACCTGGTTAACTCCTACTTCCGCTACGTCCATATCCTGTACCCCTTCCTGCATCGACCTTCATTTGAGGCTCAATACGAACGCACCTGGGTCTCAGGAGAACAACAAGACGATCAGTGGTTGGCAATGCTGAATGTCATTTTCGCTCTTGGGATCCATTTCGCATATGGACAGGAAGACAAATCTGCAGCGAGTGATAGGTTCTTCGGTTATGCGCAGAAGCTCGTCTCAATGGAGCAGTTTGCCCACGCAAATCTGCAAACACTGCAACTTCTTCTGCTCAGCGGTCTCTACTATCAATCTACCAGTCGCCCGAACCAGACATGGAACGTGATAGGGTTAGCGATAAGGATTGCCACAACCATTGGAGCCCACGTTGATCCAATGCCGTCACAATACAATCCCTTGCAGATTGAAATACGGAGAAGATGCTGGTACGGGTGTATTGTCCTCGATTCGTGGGTAGATCTGGCACACCTGGTTGGAACCTGCTAACCTGGTCCAAGAGTTTTGGCCCTGAACTTCGGACGTCCCACTGCCATTCCAAGTACCTTTGGTGTCTCGCTTCCTTCGAACCTCGACGACGAGTATATCACGGAAGAAGGATACCTCGAACAGCCCGAGCACGTTCGACCGAAGATAACGGTCTTTATCAAATCAGTGGCTTTCTGCTCCATCATGAAGGACGTATTATACACTCTCTATTCGCCCCTCAACGGTTCTGGTCACCAGCATAGTGGCAAGGCTTCTGCGCCTCCTGAATTCAAGGACGCGGTCAGCCTGGACAAGAGCCTGGTTGAGTGGTTTCGAGGCCTTCCAGAGTACTTGAAAGTAGGGGCTTTGGACGAGATGGAGGAATTTCGGAGAACCAGAAATATCCTCCTTGCCAGGCAAGCCAACGTAATTAGCGAGGCTTTTCTATGGCTGACGCTTGCAGATTTCTGAATCTCAGGGTTTTGATCCATCGACCCTTTGCTTCTCTGTGGCAGCAGTCGTCTGCTGCCGCGGAGCCGGTTTACCTCGCCCCCCTTGACAACTCCCTTCACGCCATGTGTGTCACGGTGTGCAAGTCAGCCGCCGTTCAATTGGTGAATGTCATTAGCAACAACTATTATCAAGGACTGTCTAGCGCGTGGTGGACGGATATGAACTGTAAGTGCACAAATGCAACCATCACCCACGAGAATGTCTGTTCGAGCATGAGCACAACTTGAGGCATCGCACAGGAGGATGTCCTCATTGAAATAACACTCCATGATCCAGCCGCATCGGCACGTACTGACCACATCTCTCTCCTACTAGATCTATTCACCGCAGCAACTGTGCTGCTAGCCATCGAATACGAATGCGAAGACCCGGAAGAGAGTGACGCGACCGAAAGTGCTTTTGAACAATCCCTCATAATTCTGGGCGAAATGCAAGGCCGCTCGTCCATGGCATCCTCATATGTCACCATGTTGAAAAAGGCAAAAGAAGCTCAAGAATCAGCGCAAATCGCGCCGCTGGCCGCTGCTTCATCACCCCGAGCACGTTCGAACAATGCGCCTCCACGGAATTCTTCGTCGACCTCTGAAATGGTGTCTGGTGGGATCAACCTGGAAGAGTTTTTGAAAGATGACACCAGAGCCGATGCTCCTTTCCCGTCTTGGAACATGCAGGACTTTTTCTTGGTTCCTTGGGATATGATGATGGTTGATAATCCTATGCCTACGTTTCAATCTTGACAACTAGACGATGTGCCAGACACGTTCCGGGGCATCAAAGACATATTTCTCAGGGTTTCTTTGGAGATGAATTCTATATGTCCACTGTTTCGCCTTCTACCCATTTCTTACACTGTCGGTACAGTTCATCATGAGCTCGGCCACAGTCGTTGTCACCTTCACGCCGATGGCCAGGCATGTCCAATTTCACCTTGACTCCCATCACGGCCTCCTGACAGTATGCTAGGTAACGATAGCCGGTAGGATACATCTTAAGCTTTTCGTCATCCAGCACCGGCACTTTTGCAGGATTGACGGGGATCAATTTGTCCTTTTCATACCAGTGCCGGACGAAGCGAGCAGCCCACACCCCGGTGGCCACGTCCCTCTCCCAGAAGAAGCAGAAGCGACAATCTGATTCGGCGTCGGCCTCGATCCCGTCGAGGTCGAATCGCTGCGTGATGGCAGCTTTCATCTTGGTCACGGCACGTGTGCCTTCCACGTTGATATCCGTCGTCGACCCGTGAACCCGGTGCATTATAAAGGCGCCGTTATCCATGCCCCTTTTCGAGGCTTCGATAAAGTCCCTGTACGGCGTCCGGCCTGTCCAAGTCGTGTACACATAGGCGTCTGGATGGAAGATTGAAGCGAAGTTCTCCCACTCGCAGGCATCCCTGGAAGAGACTTGTTGTCAATATACATCCACCTCGATTTTCTCGATTGTCGGAGAGCAGGGGGCGATACCTATAACACGGCCACCCTTCGGCCAGTTCGCGCAGCTTGTAACGTTGTAAGGCTAGGTCATCTGGCCCATTATTTCGAATCGCCTTGTCTGGTCGAGAGCCATCTGGGAGGGAATGCAGATCAACCATGGTCCCGGTCTCTCTGGCCAGAGTGATGCCCAGTTTCTGTCCTAATTCAATGAAGCTTATGTCTTTGGGGTCGGCTCCTCGCCTGCCAGATCTGGTAACAGAGAATGAGCTGAAGATTGGCCCCTTTGGACGCTGAAAGACAGAATGGCACGAGTGAGATGACCAACACTTGTCCGATCCGAGCGATGCCTTCCATCCGTCAGACACGAGGTAGCGGTTTACTCTGCCTTCGGGAAGAGATCCCGCACAGGCGAGACCTTGTTGCGCCCGGTGGCTCGATATCCGGGGCTAGCGACAGAGGCGCGGCCAACCGCCGGCGAACCAATGAACGACAACTCGCAACGCCTCTTGGTCCCGTATGGCCTAGGTGGACGGCTTCACGGTGCACACACACGGGAGGCATTGTCACAGCGCGCACGAGAGTTTCTGGCTCGTATACCACCCGAGGGGGGCTAGGAGGAAGCTCTTCCTTGGTGCAAAGAATGGACCGATATAACAGCCATGTCTGGACGTTTGGGGCCCCCTCTCCACCAAAGGTACAGTGCAGGGCACCATGGCTTCACCGAGAGTGGTTGACATGGCCGTCGACGCCGCCTCGTATATCCGGTCGCACCTGGGATTGACCGTGGCGGTGTGTGTCGTGCTGTACTTCGTGTCCCAGCGGTACAAGACCGGCCTTCGACACATCCCGGGTCCCTTTGTGGCCAGTTTTTCGGGCTTCTGGAGGGCATGGGAGGTGGCCAAGGGAGACTGGCACGTCAAGAATCTCGAATTGCATCGACGATATGGACCGCTTGTCCGCATCGCCCCGAACGTCGTCAGTGTCTCTGACCCGGATGCGCTTCGTGTCATTTACGGGCTGAACAGTGGCTTCACAAAGGTGCGAAACTGGATGTGACCCTCTCATTGACCATGGCGTCAAGTCAGCTAACACCGCGACAGACGGACTTTTATCCCATCCAGGAAATGAAATACGGTCAAATCTATCTGGCGAATCTCTTCTCCACCAAGAGCGACGAGTTCCACGCGAAGCAGAAGAGGTCGGTCGCCACGGCCTACTCCATGACGTCCATGCTGGCCTTTGAGCCGTACGTCGACAACTGCTCCGAGCTCTTCTTCAAGAGGCTCGACGAGCTGTACGTGAACCCGCATCAGCCCTGCGACTTGGGCAAGTGGCTGCAGCTCTACGCCATGGACGTGATTGCCGAGGTGACCTTTGGCAAGCGATTCGGATGCATGCAAGAGGGCGGCGACGTGGGAGGCTTGATCGACACCATCGACAAGTTCCTGGTCTACGCGTCGGTGGTGGGCCAGGTTCCCTACCTGCACAAGTTCCTCTTCGGCAACCCCTTGCTGCCCTACATCCTGCCCAAGCTGGACAGCATCAACCACGTGGTCAAGTTCACGCTCGAGCGCATCTCGGAGCGCGAGAAGGACCCGGAGCGCCACAAGGACTTCTTGGGGAGACTGTACGACGCCAAAGCCGAGGGCAAGATGGAGGCCGTCGACATCGTCCGACACAGCAGCGCCAACGTCTTTGCCGGCAGCGACACGACGGCGATAGCCCTCCGCGCCGCCATCGACGGACTGCTCGCCAACCCGGAGTGTTACCGCAAGCTTCAAGCGGAGATCGACCAGAAGCGGGCCGAAGGCAAGCTCTCGCTCCCCGTCAAGTACGCCGAGGCGCAGCAGATGCCGTACCTCCAGGCCGTGCTCAAGGAAGGCATGCGGTACCACCCGTCCGTGTCGTTTTTGCTCGAGAGGCACGTCCCCAAGGGTGGCACCGTCGTCTGCGGCACCCGCGTCCCCGAGGACACCATCGTCGGCGTCAACGCGTGGGTCGTCCACCGCGACCGCAAGGTATTTGGGGACGACGCCGACGTCTTTCGGCCGGAGCGGTGGCTGGAGGCTGACGAGGCGCAGCTGAAAGCGATGGAGAGGGCTTTTTTTGTGGTGAGTTACAAAAGAACTCTGATTTTCCGTACCTCCCTTCCTCTGTTTTTGCCTTGGTCTCCCCTCTCCTCTCTTCTATTCCCTCGTCTCCTGTCCCCTTCTCTCCTTTTCCTCTCATTTCTAGCAACTCGCCCTAACACGACAGTAACACAGTTCGGCGGCGGCTCCCGGACCTGCACCGGCCGCAACATCAGCCTGATGGAGATGTCCAAGGTGGTCCCGTCGCTGCTGATGGTGTACGACATTGAACGCGCCGATCCCAAGGCCCGCACGCACACCAAGACGTACTGGTTCGCCGTGCAGAGGGGGCTGGTGTGTAATATCCGGAGGAGGGAGAGGGAGAGGGAGGATTCGAAAGTCTGAGAGGGGTAGGGCTGGAGGGGTCAAGGCTGAAAAGGGTTGAGGGTCAAGGGCTGAGGCAGAGACAGAGACAGAGGCAGAGGCAGAGACAGAGGCAGAGACAGAGACAGAGGCAGAGACAGAGACAGAGGCAGAGACAGAGACAGAGGCAGAGACAGAGATAGAGGCAGAGGCCTAGGCCAAGGCTGAGGTAGAGATTGCGATTGTGAGGTGGGTTTGGGATTGGATTTGGGAGTGTATATTGTATACTCCGAGGACAGAGAGATGTTACCTGTACTTACCGGATCTTCATTTCCCGAGTGGAATAAAATTACCGTATACAAGTCAGAGAAGCAGTCGGGAGAGACAGCAAGACAGGCCTGGCAGATTGACATGACGTGGCCTTGCTGGACGGTAAAGAAATGAGATGATCAATCAAGTTGCGTACCTTGTTTCTTCGCACGATTGCTTTGCTTGTTCGGTTGGATTAATTGATCGATTTCAGTGAAGTCTCAAGACAGCATTTGAAAGACACTGGAGAGATACTAGTAGACTAGCTAGTACTCGATTTGTCAGGGACAAGTACATACATACATACATACATACACACGAAATGTACACTATGTACGAGGTATGCTATGAGGTTATACCATGAACACTTGTTTGTCAGTGCGAGAAAGCTACTGCCTAACATAATGCCACCCATCCCAGAATCAATAGATGTCTCTTATACCCCTCTGACGCTGCCGACGACCTACACTGTGTCGCCCTCGGTGTTCGCCGCACCACTAAAAAACAAACACAAGAACAAGAAGCACGACCCGCGGTAGACGCTAGACAGCAACGAGACACCCCCACCCACAGCCAGACGGAACAACGACACCCACGCCACAGGCAACAACGCCACCGAAA